AAATTGTAAATCTTATAAATTGAATTATAATTTTGTAAAAATTACAAATTATATAAATCTCAGAATTGCTGATAATTCGTAACGAACGTAGGTACGGTGATAATAAACGACGTAAAGAGGAATAGCAGAATTTCAAAAGAAAAAATCATCATCATCGAATTATTATTCGAATAATTCTTACGAAATTTACTATTATTAAATAACCTATTTTTTCCTAATTCAGCGACTGGATGAACTATATATCCGCCCTTATCATTATATTTATATCATTCTTCTCCATCAGTAGATTTTACTATTTTTTCCATTCATATAAATGGAATTTCATCAATCTTAGGATCATTAAATTTTTTTCATTGTAACAATTTTCACAATAAAAAATTTTCTTCAAATTATAATCAAATTAATTTGTTTCCATGATCAATTTCAATTATACTGTCATTTTATTAATTTCATCATTATCTGTTATTGCTATATTATTATTTGATCGAAATTTTAATACATCATTTTTTGATCCTGTAGCAGTTTTATATCAACATTTATTTTTACGAAATGGGGAAGGAAGAGTTTTCAACAGATTGAAATTACGCGTGTATTATTAACTTCTGTATAGTATGCTTGGTGATTGCTTTAAACGAAATCACATATTAGAGAAATAGATGATCAAACTTCGTGTTAAATACCATTTAAACAGGATAAGTGTTTCCAATCTTGTATCATTATATTTGAAGTGATACTTTACTCGCTATTTCGTAAATAAATTGCTGGTAGATATAAAAGATGTTTCTGAGGGTGAAGAAAGCAACATTAAACTGTTCCAAGTAAATTCAATGATATTTCTGAAAGGAAGAGAGAGAGAGAGAGAGAATTATCAGATCATTGAATATTTTAACGAACGTTAGAAATACGATCGAGATAACACGGTCCAGTCGAGGATAACATTATGCACTTTAGGTGATAACAATTTACACACCTGGCAGCAGTTTGATAGTCTCTCTCTGAGGAACTCATCGTTACGATAAGATGCTCTCTCTCTCTTTCTCTCTCTCTGTCTTTGTACCCTTCGCGTCAAACATCTGTCTAGTTTCGACGAAACAGCACGCAAGTACTTACAACTTGCATAGTCGTAGGGAACTTGCCTCGTGATTCTTCGTCTTTCGATGTTTTCTATGTGAACTCTTCACCATCGCACGCAACAGAGAAAGAAAGAAAGAGAGAGAGAGAGAGAGAGGAATGGAACATCGAGAAGGAAAGCAACACACAGTAGCACCCCACTTAAGCGTCCGGATGCAATAGAAACAAATGAAACTTCAACAAGTGAAAATAACCTTAATTGAAATTGGCTTCCCAAAGATAATAATCCGAAAAAGTTTTATCTTCACGGAAGCACCAGGTATAAACCCTTTATTTCTAGAAGAATTAGGAAATAACTGTAATAGATTTATTCAATCTAACAATAGACATGCAGCACGGATGCTAAATAGTGAAAATTACAAAAAGAGGAGTGAAACTACTTGGGAATGTGAACTTTATTTAATAGTTTTTTTACACTGTTTCAAAAAGTATCATAAATAAACTATTAATACATATACATATATATATATATATACATACAATCTTTTGTTTGTTAGACTAAAGAAGTTTTTTTTGGAAAATTTATTATTAACAAATAGTAACACATTATATATTTCACTTTTCTCTTTACTACCACACCGCCATGTCATTTAGTCAGTTTTTCAATGTTTTTCGAATCGTTTCTACACTGCATTGCCTAAGTGCATTTTGTCCACAACATATACATGATTGCCGCGCGAATAGGTTAAGGGACTAGTCGACATATAGCGCAACTTGAAACAACAGTGGCAAAGATGCGCGACTCGTGACGCTTCTAATTTATTTTCGCAAATATCACCACTCGCCAATATATGTGCATATATTACGCCATGCATCTTTCGTCGTCTGGTTCGGCAATTGTTCAAACACAGTGAAATAATATCTAGGCATCTGTGCAAACTCGCGTACACGGCTAACCGCAGACTGGATATCTCCGATATTTCGTATTTTCGTCAGGGA